TATTGCCGTATGCGTTGATTCAGTCACGGGCATTGTTCCCGACCCAGCGCCGGGACCAAAAAAGTCTTTTGCCGTTCCCATTTCCCGAAGGCTTCCACACCCAAACATTGTAGAGACACTGAGCAGATAGATATCACATTTTGAATTGTCGTTGTGTTTTTTCGCATTTCATTTTATTGTTCTTCTGGGTTGTTTATCCCAAATCATGCGTCCCCACCCCGCCTTAATAGAGCAGGCAAACGTGATATCGTATCGCAAAATAATGGCATTCCGCTCGCCACGTTCAGGCGAGGCACGATAAACTCCAGCCGTCGTGCGTAAATTACAAGAAATGTTAATTGTGTATTCCTGACGAGCTTCTGCCGGCCCTAATGATACCCAAATTCTTAATTGCCGGCGTATTGCACAATTATTTCTGCGTCTTGCAGGGGTAAGAATTCCGTAATTCGGCAAATAATAAACCAAATTGCAACATAGGCCCTTATCTATGAACATAAACGTGTTTTTCTGACCGTCGAAACGTTCTGCCGGGCTCCCGGTTTTCCCCCAATCATTTCAAGCAAATGCCGGATGCATGGAATTGCCAACCGTGTGTCCAAGTGGGTCATTTGGTGGAAGCGGGAGCCATTCCCTTTCTGCTAAAAATACCAATTGGGACGATGTCGCTATCCGTGGTCATCGCATACACGTCCTACCGTTTCTGCTGCAACCCAGCATTCTGGAAATTTCCCGACGTCTTCGTGGCTCCCCGTAGCCGCACCGAGATGATTGTATCCCGCCCCTTTGTAGGGAAGCTTTGGACGAGTCCTGGTAAAACATCACCCAACTAGTCCAATAAACTGCTGGAGCGAGCCGCCGTCAGTCCCTGAACCCCAGCTCTTCCAGGCGGAAGGGCAGCCGGGCTCGCACGACCCCCCATGGAATTCATTGCTCCAGCCCTCCTCCGGATCTGCGATGCCGAACATTTTCCTGAAAATGTGGAGGACATTGTTGTCGTGCGCTCGAAGTGCTGTCCGGGCGTGCTGTGGCGGGATTGCGCGCAATAAATGGCACCCGGTGGGAACGCAACCTGCGCTCATTCCACAGCGGGCTTCGATGCCCCCAAAAAATAAAATTGATGGCATAAATGCATCCGCTTATTCTCCTCCGTCTCCTTGTCTTGTCTGCATTCGCCTGGCGAATGGGATAAGACCAAGGAGCGCAGCATCCGCCAACAATTGCGAAAATTTTACGTTGAGACACGTGATCAAAACCCTCCACCCCGAGATCTTGTTCTGCTTAATCACCGCGCGCGGTCAGGTGCAGGAACATTCGGGACAATACTATTGTCCCGATTGAATAGGATGAGAGGCATCGAAACTGTAACACAATTGCATGGTCCTTCTCCATCGTGATCCCAACAGAGATGCGTACGCTCAACTTTCACTAAATATTGAATGAGAATGCGCAGAAAGTGTGCCCGAATACCATTGGGTATTGATTTCACTGTGCGCACGTCGACATCGATTTCGTCCACCGCCCACGAGTGATCCGACGTATTAGGTACTCGAGCGACATCTAGACCTCTTGTGTTTAGCCTGCTGGGCAATACTCGATGACTGGGTTGGCATGTCTTCCTTTGGTGGCGGGCATTAGGAAAAGGGCGGAGGCGATCAACATTATGGGTCGGGGTGCATATGTCGCGCCGAAACCAATTTATCATTCCGATATTTGAACAAGCTGATAAGGATAGCGACACACACAGGGGTCGTATTCGGCCCTGCCTGGCCTCAATGGTTCAGAGCCGACAATTCAAAGGATGCGGGCGACCATTGAAATAAATAAGGTAGACGCAAAAGAAGCCGGACAAAGAATAGCCATAATTGTTGCTTAATGTAAGTCGATGTAGTCGTATTTACGCTCGTAAGAGCCCGGATGCCGTGGTAGCAGGTGGTCGTCCACTCCCGTCTCCAGCGGTATTATTGCTGGTAGTTGATCCTCAACAAAACAAATGTAGGGCCCGGTCGAGTGGAGGGCCAAGGAGAGCGTTCCCAATTCGGACGCCTGATATTGGAGACTACCAATATCATAAATTATATGTATGCGGTAATTTTGCACAGATGCTGTCAATTATTGGATATAACATGCCTAATTTGGAAACAAATCACCGTATTGTCTAACAAAAATGATGACCTCCGCTTCCCCCTCCTCGGATCCGGATTGCCAATAATTGCAATCCGAAGAACCATTTTTTTTGGATCTGTCTTCTTTTTAGAAATGCATGGATGCGGATCGATATCATTTGTAAATGTCTCGGTGCCAGGGAGAATGCCGATGTGAAATTGTAACTTGCTGTAGCCTTTTATGTCTAGCCTGGAGGATGCGCCGACCTTCGTTGTAATCTGGTGTAGCGCTGCTTGCGTGGCCCCGAGGGGGACGGTTTTCATCGTATCCTTACAATTGCAATATGCTTACATAAGAAGTATTTGAAAACACCATTCCCATCATGTTGATCATAAGAGAATATCCAAACTATGGCATTTTAATGCCATCATTCGGAGGTCATCATCGCAATTGATCAAAATAAGCTGGGAATTCCGAGAAGACCGCGCTGGCGTAGTATTATTCGGCGGATGTGCTGGAATCGATAAGTCGAAGCATTTCCTATAGCGACCGGGGCAAATACCTTCTTGGATTCTTCTGTCCGAATCTTCACCTGAAATGCCCCGCACCCTACGAGACAAATCTCTCGATGCATTCATGGCAATATTTTCGTTATTCTAGGAGAGCTTATTCGGGGAGCCTTTATGGGAATTTCTCTTGGCATTATTCTAAGACCCTCAATGTGAATTTCTATTAACGTTTTTTTGGAAGCTGGAGAAACAAATAAAACGTGATAATGTCAAAATCCGGAATTTATATTTCGTCGGGGGCGGAATCCGGAATCGTATTTGGATGGGGATGCAACGAAACAAATTTTAGATACATCTCCTCCCTCCTCCTTCTTTACCGTAATCGGCACAATACGGCAATATCAAAACCAAATATATGTTTGAATTGCCAGTGGAACCCTTACTACAATCACCGTAAATTACATGCATACGGTGCCGTACGTGTCGTGTTGTTGGCGGGATTGCTGGTGTCGTAACTGGTGCTGGTCTTATTGTCGTTGCTCGCATTGGTGTTGTCCATGCCGATAACGTACCGCACCGGTGCAATCAATAGAATGGGAATCTGTCCCAAAAACCATGCCCATGAAATTGCCCATGAAATTGCTGTTGCTACCGAAATCAATTTCATGATTCTTCTTGCTGGAGATCTCATTGGAATTGTAGTTGAATTTGCAAATGTACCGTGCCGACGTCATTGAAAACTGGAATAAAAACCAAAAGGAAATCTCATTGCCAAGCGACCGGGCAGAGAACCGTCATATTAGAGTCGTTGGGTCCGCGGTCATTGCAATGAGTAAGTGTCTACCTTAGTGCCAACATATTCGACGACAATGCTGGGCTCAATGCTACGGGAAATGCGGTCATAAACCATGTGCCCGTAATTGTTGTCGTTACCAACGTCCGTGCCGTGGAAGTTGCTCCCTCCTTATCCATGTCGTCATTCTCAGTGTTTCTACCCCCCTCTGGCGTCGGAGTCAGAAGGTAACCTGCCTTCAAATTTGATTTTGGCTGCCGTTGGAACTGGAATCGGAAGATACGCTGGCGTCGGAATCGGAAAACGAACTTGAACCCGGCCCGCGATCGGAAAGGTGGTCGCAGCCAAAACGAGGCAAAAAGAAAATTGGTCGGGAACCGGAGTCGTGCCGGGATCGGAAGCCGGGGTCAGAAATCGATCGGTTAGTCTGCCCTTCACCGTAATCGGTATAATATCGTTGCCCAATCGAATCAGCGTCGGGGCCGCGGTCGGAGCCGGAGTTTGGAGGGATGCGAGGTCGGGAGCCCGAGTCGGATTGGCCATCAAATCAATCTTTTGGGAGTCTCCTCGGGGACCTGTACCAAGAGGCTCCCTCCTTGCTTCGGGACGTCCTGAGGAACTCGCGAGGACCGCTTGGGCTACTCCTGGGCCACCGTTGGCAAACGGAGATGCAATGAACAGAAGAGTCCGCATGTTCACCAGGATAGGAGCCGAAGTTGGAAAGCCGAGTGCAATTGGAGTCGACGCGAATGTGGGAGCGGAGTTAGGCATGGTGTGTCTCGGGTTCGTGCGTGTTTTTTGTTGTCCACGATGATCCAGGATGCTCTTCGATGGTCCTCGCCGACAAAAGGCACACGTCCGAGCGATGCCAAACCGCTCTTTCCCCTCTTCGCGCTCTCCTCGGCCTCAGGGAGCCAGCCCGAGCTCCTTTAGAAAGACGCCTTGGCATGGCCACACGACGGCGCAGGACCCTCCCAGAGCGCACCGGGAAGACCCCAGGAACGGTCAGCATCGCATCGGGACATCAGCTCGGATCGGAACGTGCATCGAATTGGGCCGCATCGGACCAGTCGGAATCAAATCGAATCGGCTGCGCCAGGGTGCACAACAACGCCATGCACGCATCGGGCCGCATCCGATCGTCGGAATATCATAATCAAATCGGACCAGGCTGGCTTAAACCAGTACCGAAACGGATCGATCCGATCGAAATGGACCCTGCACAGTCCAGGATGCACTGGCCCCTGGGGCAAGGGAAACACATCGAATCGTCGGATGTCTGGTCCAGTTTTTTCTTTGCTCGCCCAGCCGCCACCACTCTTGTTTGGGGATGCCTCCCAAAAGAGGTCTGGAGCAGATCGGGTCGGAGGATCGCGCCGCATCGCCGATGTACCAGGGATGCGTCGACGACGTCAGGTGGAGACGATCGGGCACAAGATCGCACCACATTGCAAGTGCGTCGGCGACGCGGCGCGTTCGTCGACCACATCCACAGATGTTCCCAGACGGCTCCAGAAATCTCCCAAAGCACAAACGTTTTATCAACACATTAGCACCTGAATCCTCGAACCTCGATGTCCTCGACCAATTTTTTTCAACCCCGCGAGACGCGGTGCGACAGATCAGCTCAATTCAGCCAGATCAGCCAGGCTGTGACTACAGTCAAAACCGGCAAGGCAACAATGATGGAGCACCAAGAGGCGGGCACTGGGAGGCCATGATGCCAAGATGCCTCCAGACCAAGGAGGCAGATGACATGCATTGGATGGCGAGAGTTGAGGCAAAAGGAGGTCAATAAAAACTCACATCGACAGATAAACAAACGGCATGAACATGAACTTTCGGAGCTCCGCGCGGATTTCTTGGATCGGCGCTGGAACCCCTCCCTGGCGTGGGGCGGAGCGCGCCAGGGGGGCGCCAGAGGCGCAACCAGGGGGGCCCAGCGCCGATGCACAAAATCCGCGCGGGCCACCGAGAAATGACGTTCAAGTCGGGCCTGTCCTCCTACAGGCGGATTTTGGACGTACAATAAAACATACACCAACATACGCCAAAATTATACAAAAATGATAAGCATACGCCAATTGTCCCCATATTAATTTTTGACTATTTTTGAATATCCTCTGTAGAGGGACACGCCCGACTAAACATTACGTAGCACCAAGCAGTTGCGGATAAGAGTGAGGGGGCGGGCGCGGGTGGGCCGTGGGGGTGGGCCACGGCGCGGGTCGCGGGCCGGTCGGGCGGTGGATCGCGGGTAGGTCGCGGGTGGGCCGCGGGCGGGTCGTGGGCGAAGACAGTGACAACAACAATCAACAGCAAACAGCAAGCATAATCCGAGCAGCGGAACCACAATTTAACCACGCACAAAAGGACAATGAATGACCGTTCGCCCCCGTCCCTCTGATGTTTGTACAACTTTTTCTCGTTTGGGTGAAAGTGTGCCTGGGCGCCGAAAGTGGGCACGGAAAAAATGCGCACGATGCCCAACGAATGTTGTCAAACATCGACAGCGGCCGCTGTTGGGCTGGCGACCTTCTGTCTCAAATGGACAAGTGTCCCTGGCGACGCCGGCAGCGAATATTGTTCGAAATGGACAAGGGCTGCTGCTGGCCTTTGTCCCCTTTCTTTCGCTACCCGTTCCGATCTTACCGGGCAGAAGCGCCTGGACTCCAAGGCTTATTCCTGACGCCGGCTTTGACTGTGAGATTTCGCTCCGCGGCGGCCGCCTGCCCCCAGGATGGCCGCTCATCCTTCGACGTCAGCCTCCGCGATCGACCCCGCCGTCGGCCCATCGGCGTGGGCTCCGGCTTGGAGGTCTACGTCGCCAGCCCTGGAACACTCGGGCCCAGGGGTGGCCGCGGCCATGTGGTCGTCCTTGCGGAGGATGCGTCGCGTCGGGGGCCCCTCTTCCTCTTCCTCGTCCCCCTCCTGAAAAGCAGCTGGGGGCCTTTTGCTGAACAACAAATAGCACATGAACCAAATGTCGACAATCGCTTTCAATTGACAGCGGAACGCGCGGCAACGCTCCTCACCCACTCGCACGGCCATGTTTTAACAACCCCCATCGGCCAACTTTGGCCAAACGAAACAGTGGGTGGAACACTTTCTATCAAACGAATTTGGTAAGAACTAAAATGTTTAAGATGTTTGCCAAATCTTCAGCCCAGCATAACGGAATTACGCTACCGAGGAACCCCACATACTTATATTATGGCTGGGGTGGTGATAACTGAAATGCAACATGTGAGAATGATGTTGGTGGCCGTTGCCCCACCGATACCGCAAGGACGGCCGTCACGGATAGTGGCCGCGCTCAGGGACCACCCCGTGCTCACCCCTTGTGGTGTCGAGAAAACGCCACGCCTGCTGTGCCCTGGACGACCGTCACGGATAGCGGCCGCGCTCAGGGACCACCCCGTGCGCACCCCCTGTGGTGTCGAGAAAGTGCCACGCCTGCTATGCCTGGACGACCGTCGTGCATAGCGGCCGCGGTGAGAGACCACCCCCTGCTCACCCCCTGCGGTGTCGAGAAAGTGCCACGCCTGCTGTGCCTGGACGACCGTCGTGCATAGCGGCCGCGGTGAGAGACCACCCCCTGCGCACCCCCTGTGGTGTCGAGAATGTGCCACGCCTGCTGTGCCTGGACGACCGTCGTGCATAGCGGACCGCGGTGAGAGACCACCCCCTGCGCACCCCCTGTGGTGTCGAGAAGTGCCACGCCTGCTGTGCCTGGACGACCGTCGTGGATAGCGGCCGAGCTGAGAGACCACCCCTGCGCACCCCCTGTGGTGTCGAGAAAGTGCCACGCCTGCTAGGTTTGCGCCAGTGTCGTGGATAGCGGCCGAGCTGAGAGACCACCCCCTGCGCACCCCCTGTGGTGTCGAGAAAGTGCCACGCCTGCTAGGCTTTGCGACAGTGTCGTGGATAGCGACCGAGCTGAGAGACCACCCCCTGCGCACCCCCTGTGGTGTCGAGAAAGTGCCACGCTTGCTAGGTTTGCGCCAGTGTCGTGGATAGCGGCCGAGCTGAGAGACCACCCCCTGCGCACCCCGTGTGGTGTCGAGAAAGTGCCACGCCTGCTAGGCACCCCCTGTGGTGTCGAGAAAGTGCCACGCCTGCTAGACTTTGCGCCAGTGTCGTGGATAGCGGCCGAGCTGAGAGACCACCCCCTGCCCACCCCCTTTGGTGTCGAGAAAGTGCCACGCCTGCTAGGCTTTGCGCCAGTGTCGTGGATAGCGGCCGAGCTGAGAGACCACCCCCTGCGCACCCCCTGTGGTGTCGAGAAAGTGCCACGCCTGCTAGGCTTTGCGCCAGTGTCGTGGATAGCGACCGAGCTGAGAGACCACCCCCTGCGCACCCCCTGTGGTGTCTAAGTGCGCACCGGCAGAAAGTGTCGTGGATAGACGCTGCTGCCAGCCTTTGTCGCAGTGCGCACCCCCTGTGGTGTCGAGAAAGTGCCACGCCTGCTAGGCTTTGCGCCAGTGTCGTGGATAGCGGCCGAGCTGAGAGACCACCCCCTGCGCACCCCCTGTGGTGTCGAGAAAGTGCCACGCCTGCTAGGCTTTGCGCCAGTGTCGTGGATAGCGGCCGAGCTGAGAGACCACCCCCTGCGCACCCCCTGTGGTGTCGAGAAAGTGCCACGCCTGCTAGGCTTTGCGCCAGTGTCGTGGATAGCGGCCGAGCTGAGAGACCACCCCCTGCGCACCCCCTGTGGTGTCGAGAAAGTGCCACGCCTACTAGGCTTTGCGCCAGTGTCGTGGATAGCGGCCGAGCTGAGAGACCACCCCCTGCGCACCCCCTGTGGTGTCGAGAAAGAAAGTGGTGTCGAGAAAGTGCCACGCCTGCTAGGCTTTGCGCCAGTGTCGTGGATAGCGGCCGAGCTGAGAGACCACCCCCTGCGCACCCCCTGTGGTGTCAAGAAAGTGCCACGCCTGCTAGGCTTTGCGCCAGTGTCGTGGATAGGGACCGCGGTGAGAGACCACCCCCTGCGCACCCCCTGTGGTGTCGAGAAAATGCCACATCTGCTAGGCTGTGCGCCAGTGTCGTGGATAGCGGCCGGGCTGAGAGACCACCCCCTGCCCACCCCCTTTGGTGTCGAGAGAGTGCCACGCCTGTTAGGCTTTGCGCCAGTGTCGAGGATAACGGCCGAGCTGAGCGACTAACCCCTGCGCACCCCCTGTGGTGTCGAGAAAGTGACACGAGCTGTGCTGTGCTGTGCTGAGCTGAGCCGTGCTGGGATGTGCTGACCTGTGCTGAGCTGAGCCGAGCTGTGTTGTGCTGAGCTGAGCTGAGCTGTGCTGTGCTGAGTTGAGCTGAGCAGTGCTGTGACGAGGGGGGGAAGAGTGAAGTGTGTGTGTGTGTGAGTGAGGGGAGGAAGAAAAAGAGAGGAGGGGAGGTGTGAGGAGACGCGGGTGCGGCGCGGCAGGGAAGAAAACCAGAACCCCACGAAGCATGTGGGGAAAAACGTAATTGCAATACAATGGGCAATTCTGACTGTGACGACATAGCTGGTGCAAGTAGAAGGCGGCAATAATTTTGGGCGTAAACGTGCAACGGTCTCATACCACGCGATCTACTACTTTAAAGTGTCGCAAAGCCCCAGGTCACGCAGAATAGTTAACACCTTCCGAATTGTGCGTAGACGAGCACTTGGATCCCAACGGATCCTGAGCTCCCCCCCCAGTGCGGCACGCGATTCTGACCCAGAGCTGGTTTAAGCTATCACCCAGTGGCAAGCGCCAGCTCTTGCCTCCCTGTAACAAATGTGTTGGTTGGTGCCACGCGTGTGCCTGGACACATAGTCCCTGCTGGCATATTTGGTTCAAACGTCTGCACGACTCTCACGGGTTCCTACTTTGATCGCTTTGATGTCTCCTCGCCGTACTTCCCCCTGTAACCAAGCTGACAGACCTCGATGTGTCTGGCGTTTCCTGCCCCCCATCGGCTCACAATAGCAATGGTCACGTTTGCATCGCTCCTGCAAGGGATGCTAACAGTCGGCATCGACATCTTTGAGAATTGCTTGTGGTCCTGACGCAACTGATCCACCTGCCATACTCGGATTCTCCGCAAGATAATGCCGCGACGCTCTGAATCGAACTCCATGACCTTTCCCCGCACAAGTGTTCCGCGACTTGCACATGCACATGTTTTCTTGCACCTGGCATAGTAGGTGTCAGTCCAGGCGGTTAACTCGTCAGTGGGCTCTTGGTTCAAGAACGAATCCACACACATGTCGTGGTTCTTGAGGTACTCGCCCAAATTGGCCAAGCATTTCCATGGCCTCCGGGTCGGGGCTGACACAGAGCGCGCAAGCTCCTTGACTGACAACTGTATACCTTGAACCTCCTGCGCAAGATAGCTGACTCTGGCCACTGGGAAATTCTGAACTTCGCGGCTGGGATGCGCCCCCTTATCTTCCTCCTCGTGCGTTTGCTTTCCCCCTCGTTTCTCACATCTTACATCGCACTGCTCCAGGCCCACTTTGGTGCAAATGTCTCTGCGTGTCTCTGGTCTGCTTCGTGCCGCAGCCCGTTGCGGTTCCATTCTGCAACTCGGTTGGCAATGCGGAAAAGAAGTTTAATCATCGTGATGCTTGTCCGAGTCGGCCTCAGATTGAGACTTCGGATCTCCTTCTGGATTGCTCACGCGGACTCGTCGATGTCGACGTCGTTGCCCAATGAAGTGAACTCGCCTCCGTGAACTGTTAAGCGCATTCGCCTTGGATGTCATGCGTTGGCGGCAACAGTCGCCCACGTGCCTGGTTCGCAATCTTCTTCGGGCAACTGGATGGCGATGTTCTTCTTGGCCTCGGCGTAAAAGAACGCGCGCCGAGCGTCCGTGAATCCTCATTCGAGTCCCTTTTCACTCGTCTCTCGGTTATATCCTATCCCCTCGGCAACGGCCATGGAAAACAATAACTTGTGGCATCCCCGTGGAGGTGCGGCGGCAAATTAATTCTTCCCCTTGGAAATGTACTTCAACAACTGCGTCGCAGCCTGGTCGGTACTCGGGTTTGGCCTCGTCTCCATCTTTTCTGTGCATCCACCTCGTGCACACAGCCCGGCACTCTTTTTCCTGCGCCTTTTCTTGGGCCTCATTCTTCCTGAATTGCCCGTCTCTTCCACTCGAGCTTTTGGCGCGAGTTCTGGGTCGAGCTCGCTGTCTGACAGCTGACAGCGTCCCGCCACCAGGCTGCGCCGCTTTCGTGGTGAACGACGCATATGTCATTTTGGTTGGCTGGCTGTGATTTATCCGCGCTTCAACGTGCCTCGCATCTTGCTGGGGCTCTTAACCATACGCGGTGTCGACGCGCTCCTCGCATCCACTGACGCGGCCGGATGTCCCGGGCAACCCGGTATGTGAATCTGGTGGCGATATTGCACGTGACACCACTGAACTCTCACCGCTGCTCCTTTCCATGAGTTGCGCAAGGCCCCTTGTCCTCGAGCACTTGGCCGGCGTCTAAGTCCAGGGCAATTCTGCGCGCGTGCGACCTCCATGTTTGCCCCGAACTTTCTGGGCGCATGAGCGGGAGGTGCGATGATCCATTCTGGCTCAAGTTAGCGCAAGCCCATTCCCCCGCCCATGTCGTTCACGCCCAATCTCACTAACTCCAATGCTTTTGTCTTGTTCACTCCTAGCGACCTCGGGATCGCAAGTCTTGCACGAGCGCCCTAATCTGTCGTCGGCCATCATCTGTCATCTGGTTAACTTGGCCATCAAATATAGCTCGATGGACTCGGTCCGGATATACCTTTAATCTCCTCGTTCTGCCTCCCCCTGCTGGCTCGATGTCTGCGCCGGCGTTGCGACGTCGCACGCAGGGCCCTGCCGACGTGGGGGCTGTCGGTCATGGGCCGCGCGGGCTTCGC